ATCCAAGAGGAGTGGGCTAGACATGGAAGATTGGGCCTGTCAAGGCCCAATGGGCCCTATGGGCTTGGAAGGCCCAAACCAAGTTTCAACATGGGCCTATCTTATTATTAACATTCTTATTATATTTTTGTTAGCATAGTTTGAATATATTTTGGTCTTGTATTTTGGACCACATAGAGTAGCATTTTAGGTTTTAGGCTTGGTTTGAGCCTTCCAAGCCCATAGGGCCCATTGGGCCTTGACTGGCCCAATCTTCCATGTCTAGCCCACTCCTCTTGGATCTTTGAGTATGTCACCTCTTGCACTCCAAAGCATGATTCCATCACCATCAATCTTCTGAAATCAAAAAACACTTGAATTTCTAAACTCATTTCAACCAATCCACGCGATATCTAGCTTCCCTTACCTCGGAGGAAAAGAATCCGAGCTTCTGGGAAGAGGAGGAGAAGGAGAGAAAACTTGGAAATGGAACCTCAGGAAGAAGGGTATCGACACCCTCAGCTAACTCCGCACGCCACTAATCAGCACCTACAACCACCAAGGTAAGAGAATAAACCCAGCAAAGTGAGTGGGGAGGAAAGTGAGAAGAGAATGGGAGTGAAGGGAAAAGAGAAGGGAGGGAGTGGGTTGTGGGTCTCACATTAAAATTGTTTTCTTTTCTAACTTTTAACCAATTCAATTTTTATTTATCATAATTATTTATGAATTAAATTTAAATATTTTTAAATAAATTATCAATAAATAAAAATAATATTGTATTACAATATGAATTATTTATCATAAATATATAATATAATTTATATGTTTAAAAATATTTATTTATACAAATTTTAAATATGATTTACATATTCAAAAATAATATTTATTTGTATATATAATTTATTATAAATTTTAATTTTATAAAATAATTTTTAGTTTGTGCATTACACAAACTAAAATACTTGTTATCATAATTTATAAATAGTATGTATTAAATTTAGTTAATAATATAAATGTATGATGACATAAACTAATATATAAAACAAAAAATTAAAAAGTAAACTGGGCAAACTAATTCATAAGTCAACTCAGCTCACTATAAGTTGATTTGTGATCGGGTTGTAAGTGGGTCAAGCCAAACTTTTTCGACCCAATATGGCTCAACTCATAAAGAGGCAAGTTGATTCACAGATTTTGACTTATTTTAATAACTTTTATCTATACTTATATATAATGGAGATTTTCCATTTTCATGTATAAATTTTGTTTGATGTTTTTATCCTTTAATATTTTTTTATTTGTTAGTTAAAATATAAAATAAAATAAAAATTCACAAAATTTTAAAACAAAATAACCATAACTAACGGTACAAACCATGCTTCTCAACTTTTCTTATAAAAGTAGTAACTATTTTACTTTTTTCACTTTTTAAATTTTAAATTTTTATTTTTTTAAATATAGAGGCGCAAAGTATCTTTTCTCCGTATATATAAAGGGGATTCTCTGTTTTAGTATATATATTATTGTTAACAATTTTAACCTTTTAAAAATTATACAATAATAATTAATAAAGATCAAAAAGATTTTTTTTGATATAAGTTTAGCTTACTACCCCCACTAAAATGTGTATTCAAAGAAAAACATGAAGTACATTTTACTCACCAGTAATTATAAAGACGATAGCTTATTTCAATGTCTACAATTTTATGGACATTTTTACCATTAACATATATAAAAGAGATACATAAGTTTATAATCATTTTTTCGTCCTCATATTTTTAGATGATTATTTTATCCTTAAAGATTTAAATAATAAAAAATAATATTAAAAATTTAATCATTCATGTAATCATTCAAATAAGTTAATTACCTTTAATCACTCAAATTCTTAAACAGCTTTATTATTTAAAATCAAATTTTATTTTATTTTTAAAATTTTAAATAAAATAAACTCGAATAAAATTCACTGTTAAAGTTTACATTACCCAGGCTATATTTTATTTATGAAAAACAAATTCCGCATTGCTTTCAGCTCTTGAAATAACTTCTTTTATGTAATTTATGATTATAATGTGTTCTAAATAAGTTAAAAATCATCCCGTAATAAAGTAACTTGCAAAAATCGTATTGACAGTAATTGTTTAAAGAAAATAATACAAGTAATACATTATCTAATACATTTTTCTTAACATACTTGTTATTATAGTTAAAATCGATTAAAAATTAGAAATAAAATTTATTTCATAAAAAAATGTGTTGCTAGAATTTTCCAAAGATTATGATATGGTTTCTCAATGCTCTTTAAAGTACACTGAATTTACCCAAAAGGTTCTGTTTCTTCTTCTTCTTGTTCTTTTTTTGTGACTATTTTTAGCAAATGAAATGAAATGGCATTGTCCGTCGGCACAGTACAGTGTATAAGTCAAGTCTTTCTAAAAATCTAGTTGATAAGAATATTTAGAATATTTCCGTTCATTTATGAGCCTCCAAACTAAAAGTTATAAACAACTATCGATTGGTTGTACTGGTGTTACGATTAATTTTCAAATTTGATTTTGATTTACGGTATTGAGTGATAAAAAATATTATAAGATAGTCTTAATAGAGTTTAGATCTCAATAAAAAAACTAATTATCAACGAAGAAAGATGATACTCTTATTAATTTCATGATAAAAGAAAATTAAAAACTATGTAAAAAAGATATAATGCTAACAACAAACTCTTTATTATTTTTATGCTTAAATATATTTAACTCATGTAAATTCAGAGAGTTTTAATTTTAGCTTCTCTGAAAAAAAAATTCTCTATTTTTCATCCTCTTAAAATTTATAAACATTATTTTTAGTTCTTATAAAATATTTTTAATTCTTATAAAATAAGAAAATTTTTGCTTTGGTATTCATAAATTTTTTTCTATTTCCATCTCTTTAAAATCTAAGATCACTATTTTTTATCCCAACGATGATTTTAAGGTTTATAAAGAATATTTAATTTAAAAACCTATGAAACTTTTAAAAAGTTTCATACATTAATATGATATTAGTAACGATTGTGGATAAACAACTAAGATAGTCACTTAACTCTTTAATGAACAATCAAATACTTAAAAATGATTACAATAATTCTAAATTTTAGAGATATAAAAAATAATGAAAAAAATTTATAGTGATCAAAATCAAAACTTACAATTTTTTGTAGAGATTAAAAATATATTTAAACCTTATTTTTATTATTGACCAAAGTTTATTTAACCATCATTATTCTGATAAATAGAAACAATGTAAAAAAAAATGCTAACACTTAATTATTTTTATTATTGATAGAAACATTATGGTCCACATGATTGCCAATGAAAAGGTATATGTAAGATAGAACACTATTTGTTAGCTTTACTGAATTTGATCTTGTGTTCACACACATTACTCTCAGAGGTATATACACTAGGTAGATACCCAAACACTTTATAGTCACTATATTTAACAAAATAAAGTAAAACTAAACTAGCTTTTGCCAATGCTAACAACTATTCTGTCAACAAATCAACTATGGGAATAAGGGAACATCTAACATGTTTAGCTCTTAACACAAGTCAAACAGCCTCAAAATGAAATGTGCCATATATTACTCAACTGAGCAAGTCATAAATATCAGCACAAAATTGAGTAGTAACAGTTGCATCATTCAGAAGCTAACAAATTCTAAACACTTTCATTGATGTGAACTAGAGATATTGACACATCACCTTGAACTCAATCACCATCAAGATAATGTAAAACATTACCCATATCATCTGAGTCAAGATTCGGAGATGGTATAATCGGATCAGGTGACAAAGGATCAGACGACAAAAACTCATTTGTTACTGCTGGAAAAGAGTTTCTTTCGAAAAGCCAACTTTCAAAATCAACAAGTGAATTGGATAATTGAGGGTATTCAATTAGAGGTGCATGGCTTCCTGCAGGTGGAGCACCATTTGCAGATCCTGAGCTTTGTAGAATGCTTTGACCAGTATTATCATTCCAACATGAGTCAAATGCTGAAAAACTTCCAACAGTTTCCATTGGCGGCTCTACATGTGGTTGTGGTTGGCTAGTATCTTGACTTGCAGTTCCAAATTGTGCAGTATTTCCATCAGCATTTCCATCTTGACTTCTGATTTGAGGCTCATTTTCATTCAGGCATGGTGCATAACTTGAAAGAGTGCCATCATTTACTTGGATACAAGTTTGATGGAAATCCTGACTATCATTTGGTTGGGGTAGTGGCTGGGTATTTGCTTGTGTTTCAGAAGCCACAGTATGCTGGTTAACACAACTCAAGCTAGCCGGTTCAGAGCTCTGCTGCAAGTAAAATGGTATATTTGTGGGTTGATATGGCCGAATGCAATTTCCGTAATTTGGAAATCTTGCTGCATTATGATAATTGGGATGTTGTGTCATGTTAACATGACTATTGAAGGCAGATGATCTCTGGGAAGAATTATTTGTCATCAGGGTGTTCCCAGCACTATCTGCACCCTTGGACATATGAGGACGAAGGAGCTGAGGTCTTAAATTGCTTGCGCTGTTTCCTCGCTCCTTCTGGATGGGGTGACTTCGTACACTCAGCACCGGCCTCGATACCGAGTGAGGCTGGTATCTGTTTATCATCAAAGTAGATCTTGATTCCTGAGACCTACCAAGGTTTGCACCATTTGGCACTGTTATGTTGGTGCCTGTGGACATTGTAGTGGTGTTAATAGGCCTAGAGATCTGATTCTGCACACTGGAATTTGGTGAAGAGGTGGAGAGAGGACGCGTTATTGTTGACAGAGAGGTTTGGATATGAGGTATGGAGTTGAGTGAGGAGATAGTGTGCAATGCAGTGGATCTAGACACTTGACTCGGCAATACAGAATTTGGTGACAAGCGAATAATACCAGGAGGCTGAAATTCGTTAGACTGGAGATTCCCTGGTTCGAGTGAAGTACCAAAATTAGTTGAAGCTGGTACTGGAGAACTCTGGCCAAGCTTCGATGTTTTTCTCTGAATTTTCCACTGCTCAGTTTTATCATTTGCATGACAATGATCTGAACCCAAACTGCCAGTGCCCCACTTGAGACATGGGGCTATAGAGTCACATACATAACAGTGACACTGCATATCATGAAAACAAATAAATGAGAGTGATACAGGGATAATATTGAATAGCAAACAACAGATAAGAATCCACGATAATTAAACCAGCTACAGCAATAATTCTGAATTTGTTAAAAGTCCAATGTTAAAATCTTTAGTTTTTTACCTGACTACAGTGCCTCTCATGTGGGGTGGAAGAGAATGGAAATGTGGCACAAAGATGCCGAGCATGAGGATAGTCTCGACATGCAATCTGTAACCAAAATTAAAATATGTCAACACATATAAAATGTTATAGCTACATCTTCTCCCATGATCAATATTCATTATTAGTGTTTTCTCAGATGCAACAGACAAGATGCATGGCCCAAAATTGAGGTCTTCGATCATCTCAAACTTCCTCACATCTTTGGCCTTCTTAACTTTCCTCACGAGGAAAATTTATGCCCTGCAAGAATTTGACATGAGGCTAACCCTTGAAATGATGTACCTAAGGACCTTAGGTAATGCAATATCCGAAATGATTGTTCAACGATGCAACATTCAATTTTCGATTCAAGATGTTTGAATCCACAAGCAAGATCATCAAAATACTTGATCACTCATGAACCCAGACAAACCACACCAACAGCATTGCACACTTGAAGCAAATACCCTTTATGCATAGAAGGAATGTGACAAAATCCACAACCGCAGTTTAAAACCTTGAACAAAAGCTCATGTATCTAAATCAAAAATTAGTTAATCACAAAATTCCTATGACCAATGAACACAAACAAGCATACATATGTGTCTCCAACACACACACCTCGTGTTTTCTCACAATAACAACCAAAAACAAGACATTAGAGTATAGAATACAGTTCTCATGAGAACTGCCACAGACAAAGCAATAAAGCCAGGACATACATACCGGACCCTTTTCCCCTATGACAAGCAATTCATCTGAATCAGTTGCTTCCTCTACCACAGAGGCACCCTTTTCAGGGTCACCTTCCAAGATGATACAATCATCTTCATCGTCTTCATCTTCATCGTCATCATCATCATCATCATGCATATTTTTTGTGACCAAAGTTGGCTTCTTCTCCTCAATTACCTCAACTTCGTCTGAATCATCAGACAAAATATCTCTAATCCAGCTGTAGTCTATTGCAGTAAGACTCTGCTCCAAACCCTCCTCTTCATCAGAGCTTATTTCTAATACCACAGGAGGCATGACTGCCTTCAACACTCAACAACAAGGTTTCGAGAAAACCTTTAAAAGATTAAATTTTTGGAGCAAACTGATTGTGGGGTTAGGGGAATTTTTCTAGAAAATCAAAGGGTGTGAAAATTGGGTTATAGCATAAATGAAATGATGAAAAAATTCTTTTGGAAGAAGAAAAGGAAACGGGAGGACCAGGGTTGGTAACAGGGTGTGATGGGAAAAATATGAATTTCCATGTGAAATGAGTGTCAATTTGAGAGAGACATTGGCGAATTGCAGAGACTTAATATCATTGGGAACGGAGGGAGAGAAGGGTCAGTGTGTTTGTGGGGAAGTTTCAGTTTTTTTTTTTTTTTTTTTTTTTTTTTTTTTAAGATTTAA